TCCTGACTATTACGTTCTCTTGCTTTTGATGTATTTGTAGAATGTTTTCTTGTTACCCTTTATGTCTCTAGCTAGTTTGAGCTTGTTCTGTGCCTTTGCCTTTCTAATTTTGCCCCTACACACTTGTGTTACTTGTTTCAAGTATTCTTTGTTATTTGACCTGGTTTTCACTATTTGTAGGGCTTCTTTTTGATTTTTAGATCATTCAAGATCTTCTGGTTAAACTAGGGTGTTCTCTTGCTATGCTGCCTATCTTTTCTACACAGTGGAATACTTTGCTTAATTGACCTGACTCCAAATCTTTGTCTGGGCTAGTAGCAGGAGGTGAATTTTCCTTTCAGAGTGATGAGCTAATTTAATTTCCCATTGTGAGGTCTCGCAATGGTGTACATTGTGTTAATGCAGTATAAAGTAGAAATAATATCATATAGTCCTGCCTTATTTGTGCCATTACTGTATATACCATTGTGTCAAGCAATGAACCCTCACCATATCATCCTTTTCTTCCCGTTCCTCCCCCTGAAAAAAGGGAGAAAGAAGTAGTTTTAGGAGATTGAGATTTAGTTTGATAACATGTACAAAACCTATGGGCAGTTCTCCCTACAACTGTTATTCAAGGTCTTTTAAGCTGTTATCTGAATTTGATCCTATGTTTACAGAAAGATAAAACCCATAATTATTTAATGAATATCCCACTAATTCTAGAAGGTATAATCTATTGGTATGACTAGCATTCTTAATATAGGCAATAATGTGTGTTTCTTCCTTTAATGGACCTGTAACATTAGTTCTTTATCACCTGGTGGAATTTAATGCCTAAAAAACATAAACTTTCTGCAAATGAATGCTCAAGGAATAACTGAACTTCCAAAAAGAAGTATTCACACTATAGTTGTTTGTTGGTTAGGTAAAAATATTGCAACCATTGTAAAAATATCTGTAGTCCTATTAATTATACTGTTGGTGATGATGGAAAGCCATATCAATACACTAGACACAGAAGTTAAATACAAATATATTCAATACCATACATTCTACTTATTACAGGCTTCATAATTTGATGGAGGTATAACTTACCGGAGCTACAGTTGCTCATATCTTGTGAAATGTAATGTATAGTTCTTGTATTGAAGGTTTAATAGTCTAACTGGATAAAGCATATTTTAGCATATGTATCTAAATTGTGTTAAAACAAGAAATTTCATTGTAAAGAGGACAATGAAAAAATGAGTGGAGCCAAACTATGTATTTCTGTCTTCCTAAATTCATTGGTTATATAAAACTGCTGTGTTGTACTTTTTATTTCAGTAACATTTGACAAAACCATGGCTACAGATGAAAGGGACACTAAACAGAATGTTCAGGCTGAGGTACTGGGTACTGATGCTTCAGGTACTGTAAAAATAAATTGGTGCTTTTGATTGCAACTTAAAGAGGCAGAATTCATTGTCATTTTCATATTGGTTATAAAGAAAGCTTCTTTCTTTCTAATGAATTGGGTAAAAGAAATGCAGAATGGCCTAAATAATCTGTGCTCTTGCTGTAACTGGCTGAAAAGTTGGAATAGCGATCAGTCTTGCAGGTTTAATGTACCATAGACTGGTCTCTTGGCGTGTGCCATTTTAAATAAAAATAAAATATCCGAGTCTGGACTAGCAGGTTCTCAGTAACTGTAAGCCACTTCCCCCAAAAAATAGCTCTTTCTAATTTTTATAGGCCAAATCCTATAACCCTTTCTTGGGCCAAACTCATGGGAGTTTTTCCCACATAGAGACTAGGTCATGACAGCAAGCATTTGGCCCAATATTTCTTCCCTTTCTAATAAAGTTGCAGCTGCGTGGTCTTAGTTCACATGGGCTTCTATGATGATCTTATATAATACTCAGCTCAGATTTAGCCTTGTGAATCAAAGAATGTTGGAAATTCGAGATAGAGACAATTCTGTGTTAGATTTTCTTGTTACCCTTATTTCAGTGTTAGTTTGTTTCTTTTAGTATATTCCTGTGTAACACTCTGTTCATGGCATCCAAAAATATGAGGCACCATGTTACCCCTCTATCTGAGAAACACTGACAGTTCTGTGGCTGCTAGGCTTTGTGTCAGCTCTCTGTCACTGCATCCTGACTGCCTTGCCAGCAAACTCTTCAAGACTCTGCTAGTCTAAACATTGCCCTGGTGATAACAAACAGTGAACCCCAGTTCCCGAGTTTTCCAAAGACATTCCACTGAATTGTCCAGGCCTTCTCACTACACACTCACAAAAATTGAGGTTGCTACCTTAAAAAAGATGGCGCACATATCAGTCATATAGGCAGTCTGAAAACTCACTCTTCATTCTAAGGCTATGTCTAGGCTGCAGGTTTATTTCTGAAGAAGCTTTTCTGAAAGAGATCTTCCAAAAAAACTTCTTCCAAAAGAGAGCATTTACACTGCCAAAGCACATCAAAAAAGCTATCTGCTTTTTCGAAAGAACATCCACACCAAATGGACGCTGTCTTGCATTTAAGCTGTGATTACTAAGGACGGAGTGGCCACCAGGATACCTGTGCTTTTTCCTCTTTCCCCTTCTTTCGAAAGAACTCCCTCTTCCCCGTCCTTACATGCCTTTTTCTGAAAGAGCTCTTTCGGAAAAAGGCTTCTTCCTTGGAGAAAGAGGTTTACCAATGTTGGAAAAACCCCTTTGTTCTTTTGATTTTTTTTAAAAGAACATGATTGCAGTGTGAATATAAGTGAAGGTTTTTTGGAAAAATGGCTGTTTTTCTGAAAAAAATTCTGTAGTGTAGACATAACTTCATATATAGCACTGAGATGCTTTTGTAATAAAGTAAGCATACGTTTATTAATAAATAACTGAACATTAAGTGGTACTAAGTAAGATGAAAAGAAATCTTAGCAAGTTACAATCTTTGACTAAGAAATTGTTCTTACTCGTGTCAATTTACTAGCATCTCCATCCCACTAGGCCAGGGACCCACAATCACAAAATGCTGTTCCCAGGGTTCCTGAAGTAATGGATTCCTAAAATGCCTTTTTGTTCTCCTTATATCACCCAAAGTCCATTGTATCTGCCTCAAGAGTCAGGAAAGATTCCCAGAGTGAAGACTCTCTACCCCAATGAGCTCAGCAAACTTCTAATAATGATTTGATTATTGTATATGTAAATGTAATTTTGTTAACCTCCGTCAATAATCAAGCTGGTCAAACACATTGTTTTGTCTAGAGCAGGCTGGGTTTATTCACTGCTTTGCAAACACATATTAAGAACACATTTCCCGCATGCACAAATAATTCTTTGTACACAAGCTGTAGATACCTCACCCGCTGACTTTGTTTTCACGGACAGCGTGTTATCAGTTTATATATGATACCTCATGTAGCATCTTTTAGATGCGTATTATACAACAGCATGTTGGGTGGTTAGATGTGTTTCAGGCCTCATCTGAGATACAGTAGGGTGAGCCCTCTGCCAGTTGGCATTTTGGGAGGCTCCCAAGGACACATCCGGACAACTTTGTTGATACAAATTTTCTCCTCTTTGCATAGGAATCTATTCTACTATCTAATATGTTTACTGGGAAACTCTTCCTCAAATTAGTAAGTCTAAACTTTTACTTGGTATAATTTCATTCCACTATATCTAGTTATGTGCTCCTGGGCAGGTATAAATGATTCCTCTTCAGTATTGGTGTTTACACGTTTCAAATACTCTACCTGTATCCCTTGTTAATTACCATTTGGCCAAGCAACACATTTTAATTCTTGATGTCTGTCTAATATAGTTATATAGATTTCTTACCATAGTTAGTGAATAGTTATGTTTCAACACAAAGGCACTCCATCAAACCTCTTATTACATTTTTGTCTTTTATGTAGTACTTTAACAGATTTAACATGTTTTTGCTAAATTCTGTTTACACTAAATTGCAACAAGGTGTTGTCTTTTATTATTAACTAGGCAACATGGTTACCAAATTCTTAACTGTTAGCACCTGTAGTATAACATGTGCATCAAATGCACTGTTGCAGAAAAATGATCGCCCATTACTAGGGATGAGCTGGAATCCATATTTCAATTGGCAATCTAGAGTTGGGTTAGAGTTTGCATTTGCACCAATCACTGTGTGATGATCCAAACTGGATCACCATGAACTTTGGAAATGTATGAATTCATACCCACATTTCCAGCATCTACATTTGAAAAAGTTTGGAATTTGTTTGAGGCTAACATGGAGTTATGCGGTTTGGGTGTGGGACTTTTCATGCTCATCTCTACTAATCACAAAGGTTAATTTCATTTCTGACAGTTAGGAGCTGCCCCCTTCTGGGTGCCACCTTTTTCAAAACTTGTGTTTGTGTTGCTGATGGTACACTCCCTTTCACACCTCAAAGGATACATCTGTGCTATGGGCTGAAGATGTAATTTCCAGCTTGGGTAGATGTGTTAACTTTGACAGAGTTTGTGCACTAACAATGGGAGTGTAGCAATAGCAGCATGAGTAGCAGGATGGTATAGTTCCCTGAATAAGTACCTGAGGTCCCAGACAGGATTGTACTTGAGGAGACTAGCTCATCCCACCACTCATGCCATGGCAGCTCCACTTCTGTTTTTAGTGTGCCAGCTTATTCAAGGCTAGTGTGAGTGCGCCCACAAAAGCTGGAAATTGTCTCTAGTTTGTCTTAAGTTTTCTTTCAGGACATTTGCCTGTGAATACTGGACAATCCTGGCTGCTTTCCCTAACTCTTTCAGCTTCCGTGGTATTTTGGAAAATTCATGTTGCCTTAAAATGCCTGTACAAGGCTGGCAACCAACCACATGGCAAAGGACAGAGGGTGAATCTTGCATAAAGTAAATTTGTAAATGAAAAACATAAAACATATTTTCTAAATCTGCAGATAGATTTAATCTGTGCCACAGCACTAGTTCCATACACAGAAGCTAGTGGTCCTTTTTGCAACTTTTGAAGGGTAGTAGTTTTCATTGGCTTGGGTTCCATAGACATTACTAGTGCCATGCAGGCGTGCACCTTTTAAATCTGTGACAGGACTCTTCTCCTTTCCTTGTGTTCTCTTTCCTTCCCTTTCTGTTCTGCCCTCAGTCAGCTCTTCGTCATTCATCAGTTCTCTGTAGAACAGAGCCAGTGGAATGCAAGAAGGGGCCTATTAACTGTGGCATTTTTATTTACCAAAGAATTAGAAATGGTTCTGTCTCTTTAAAATTGCTAACAGTGTGGTTTTTTGTGCTGTGATGATTACTGCAGTGTATGTACATGAAATTGTTCAAGTAAAGCAAATAACTTCATGGTGTACTGAGGTGTGATGTGGCCTCATTCTACTCTATTCCTTTTTCTTTCAGGGCTGTCTCGGGTTTGCATGCTGACAATGTTTAGATTTCTATTGCTGTGGTTTTTAAAAAATAGAATTGAAAAAAATATTAAAGTCATGGCAATGGAAGCTATCTGATGGAAAAGTATCCGATCAGATCTGAGATGGACAGCAATGGACTAAGTAGTCTGTGGTTTAATTAGATAAAAGAGGATGGGTGCCGAGGTCTTATTTGGGTAAAATGCCCACAATAAGATATAGATTGGTGGTGAATTATAAGGATGATCATTAAAAGAAAAGACTATTCTCCCCACTGGCAAGCTCAGGAGCACACCTTCAAAGATCACTTTGTGTGTATGTCTCTGTGAATTTAATTTGTTTGAAAGGTGTTGGACTGACAACCCTGGCAAATGAAGACCTCTGTTTACCTTCAGAACAGGGATAGCACACTCAGCAGCAGTGTACATTTTTCAACTCTGCCTTACCCAAATCAAAGATTTGGGAGTAACAGTTCTTGGGGTGAGAGAGAGAGAGTGCAGTTGCTTCTCTGTCCATTGAGTTATGAGCCTCTCTGCTGATGTTGCCAAAGGAAATTGCCATTTACTTCCATGTACGTAGTTTCTGTGATGTGGGCACCTACCCACTAGGAATCGGATGGAAACCATCACATTAATTTCACATAGGTGATTGAAGAGGCATAAGATGGTATAACCCCTGGTCACTGCCAGCAAGTCCTGGATTCAAACCAGTAGCCTATAAGTGGGTAGTTCTATATCCTATTACTAATCCCTTATACAATCTACAAACCTGTTTTCTTACATTTGCATGATTAGTTTGCTAAGTTCCTATCTCAATTAGTAAATATTAATTTATAAAGAGCAGATACAGAATTATGCTGTTTGAGGAAGTGTGAATCCTTTTGTGTTGCCTCATTGTCATTCTTGTATGATACACCCTGTTTAAACAACATGTCCTGCCTTTTGCATCAGTAGTACCTGACCTGACACTTCCTGGCTTCTAGTGGGGGGACTGAGGGCTTGTATACGCTGTCACTTACAGCTCCAAAACTT